CGTACCAACGTACCGGAGGTACGCCAAATTTATGGTCTGGTACTTCTTTGTTTTAATTTAGGCAAGTACCACGTAGGTACGCGGAAATTTGCTATTCGCGTACTTACATTTTCCTTCTGGCAATAACTAGCAAACCTGCCAAAGTATTCAAAACTGGCGTGAAGAACTTTAGCTGTACATGTAAATTCCACGCATCCGACATCTTTTGGGATAAAAAAGCCAAAAGGTTATCTTTGCGCTTGATCAAAACATTTATCGTCATTGTCCGACTGAAAAAAAAACTTTTGATTTTAAAATCGTTATCGTCAAACGCCGATAATTTTATCGTTTTCGTTGTAGCGTGGACACCAACATAATTTTTTTACCAATCATCGCGTGTTTACAATTTATCGTATCGTTATCGTTGTGTGGTGTGACCTGGGCTTAATTATCAATGCTATACCAAGACCTAAAAAAAATACCTGTTGTTACGGTTTCCCGACCGACCCTATTTTTTCTGCCCACCCTATTATTTTTTCAACATGATTGACCAATGAGGAAAACTACACTGCATGTATGTAGCTGAGGTCGGACTGTTAGCACCCTTGGTAAGTCCACTGTAAATGAGCGATGGCATTCGAGTCACAACGTCGACGCTTTGAAAACTGTTATATTATGTTGTACAAATACCATAGTTAAAGATTCATTTGTATAAAATTGCCCATACATATTTTGCTTTTGGACCAGTAAACTATACGTAGGTACAAAAACTCATGACTCGGAAGTAGTCTTAGGTACGTCTTGACTCTTTAGTTTGTACCAGATCAGGTACGCGGCAAAAGTTGTCGGAGTACCAGTCAGGTACGGCTAAAAAATTGAATTATCGCACCCTGACTTCCTTCTGGAAGGAAATTTCCTTCCAAGTGGAAACGCTGGCTCAGCTCGCAAATGTTAGAATAAAAAGATTGACAAGCGTTAAACTATGGTTAAACGTCATAATGAAGTGTTAATAGTGTACATTTCCCTTGCGTAGTCCAAATTTCTTCCTACTGTGACCTTTTGTTAGACACAAAAACGTTTGATATTCTATCTCTCTGAAAACGACAGAGTTCCGGTTCCGGCCATACTTTTTTTACTAGTTCCGGCCAGAACCGGAACTCTAAAAAATCGGGGTTCCGGCCGGAACTAACCGACCGGAACCGAGTTCCGGTGCACCCCTACTAAAATAAAGGCGAGTTTGAGCCAAAATGTTTAAATTCTTGTTTATATCAGATGCGAAGTTCCATCTTAGCCTTAACCAAGAATTTTCAACTACATTTAGTGTATAACACAGTTTCTGAAGGCTTTCGAAAATAATGCTGACGTCAGCACTTTTAGTTTCCAAGACGCTGTAACTCAGGAGGAACTAATCCTATTGATTCAAAATTGAATAATGATATAAACAACATATAAAACTTCCAGTACGTATTGTAACTGAAATTCCTGGAGATTGGACGGAAACCTGCAAAAGGCCCATTTGAAAACAAACCTTTTTTATCTGGGAAGTATCATTTCCAGATTGCATGCCCAAGTCTTAATTTCATACATCGAAGAGCCTCGTCGCATCAGGCCAGCCAAGCGGGTTACCAGACTTACTAGAATACCAGCAATATTATATACTCGATAATATACTGGCTCAATATAGTGCCAATATACCTAAAATCCCAGCCTACTGTACGTCTGTCTGCCTGAGTACTTTAATTAATCTTGGGTAAATGTAAGACAATAATTAGCCTTTCTCACGATGACGAATCACCGCCATTTTTGGGTGGCATCCAATTCTCGTTAACGAATGCAGACAATTAAAACCGAATGTGAAAAGCAATTTTTCAAAATAAACTAACCATTTACAAAGCAAATTTAACATCATTCGTCCAAAAAATTATAAAAAGTCGCTGTTATGTGGACTTATCTCGCAGTCTTCGGCTGAAATGCCACCCAAAAATGGCGGCGTGAGAAAGGCTAATTTATACCTGTATTGCGACCTATTTTAATTAAAATACTGTATACCAAAAGTAAAATGGTCAAAATACCAATATACTTGAAACCTCTTGCTCGGCTAGCTTCATTGATACACTATTTCGTTTTTGGTTTGTTATTGAAGAGGTTATGGTGAATACAGCGAATAATGGTGAAATTGTTGTCAGTAGTGAGAAATATGTTTTGTTGATAAAATTACTGAAGTACGTCGTACGCGTTTTCGTAAGTTTCCTGTGGTGGTTCGTGTCTGTAATAATCTTGTGAAGGAGTTTTCCTGTACAGTGGCGCCCCCAGGATTTGCAACTTAATAATTTGTGAGTCACGTGTTCAATTATTGCCTGGGGAAGAAATTAAATTTTGTCTGCGAAACCGCGAAATTGCATAGAAAAATGGTCGGTTCAGTCAAGAATTTTCCCGCGCTTTTTGTTTTGCTTTATTTCGACTGATTTATGGCAAAATATTAAAGGCTGAAATTGCAGCGAGGGCCTGATACTCAGGTTATTCTTAATTATGCTTAAGTCCTAATATTTTTCTAGCTTGAGCCTTTAACCTTTTCTTTATCTCGAAATTCTACCAATTCGCGATTCCCCTTATTACGTTTCGTAGCGCTTTGCATTGTGGTTATAGTGGTGTCACTGATAAAGATAGCGGCCTCGAATGAAAAGATTGAATACCCTAGCTTTTTTTAAAAGTTCTTGCACGGGTCAGGACAAAAAATAAGCCATCTTGAATATCAGTACTACTATAACCACAATGCAAAGCGCTACGAAAACGTAATAAGGGGAATCATCAATTGAATCATAACAGACTATATCTTGAAATAATTTAGAAGTTTTCCTCAATATTCCGTTCATGTCGGCATGTACATTCTTAAGATGAGCAGCTCATCTTAGCTCTCGATTTGTGACCGCAATTTCTGATACACTTAACTTTTTGCGGTGTTTCGTGCCAACATTCATCATACAGCTTCGTGGTGGATTTCGGTTTTGCCCATGTCTAGCCACTCCAGTTCTGTGTTACTTGAGATCAGGTATAAATCGTTACCTGCGCCGCAATGGCTTATGGGAATCGCATAATATGCATGTTTTGGAAACGACGCATTTTATAGAATGGCGAATTTGCGTTCTGTATTATTAATTTTCGACATTTTTTGGGCTTTTGGCTTCATCACGATATTTGGAGATGGTATGTATTATGTCTGTTTACCAATGTGGTTGGCTGGTTGATTATTTCTACAGTTACGATGTTTTGTTTTGCCAGTGCACTTGTCGCCATGTTGATTGAAAATTATGCGATGTTTATCTACGTTCATGAAGTATGTTAGTTTAAGGCTTCATGATTTAAGTATACTACATGATAGACGGTACATATGTTAAAGACAATAAGACATTAATTGTTCCACTCTATGGAATTATTTGTAGTTTCTTTTTGTGGCATTAATATAATATGCCATGCGTATAAATTCTTTCGAACGATTCAACGATCTGTGACTCTGCGCCAAGCTGCGGATCGTTTAATTTTTCAGGTAGTTTTGCAATGGTTTAATTTAGTTCCCTAGTTGGTAGTAATTAGTAAACTGTTACCCCCATGTCACATGTGTATAATGAAATTTGGACACCATTTTGTTTACAAGACTTGGCAGCCATCCAGAAATTGTGACCAGTGACCTGTGATCATGAAAGAGTCGGCATGAGCAGTCTGATTATATTAACTCAATTTGAGGAGTAAAAATGTGTGCTGTTAGACAGAGTAAGATTAATAGTATGGCACATTAGGGTGCATTTGCAATGCAACTTAATGAGTTAAGGATTGTCAAACAAATGTGCTTCAGGGATATGTGTGGAAAACTGGGAGAAATTTATAATCCAATCAGTCTACTGATTAAATACAAAAAGGTGAGAAACAAAATGGCTAATAATGGCCAATGCAAACTAACTAACAGCTTACTGCAAATACTTACAGTAGCACTGACAGAAAAATGCTGTTTAACCCATCGAGCACCAGCCAGCACTCCCCCTTGACAAGTAAAATAATTTGGCGTGAGACAGAATAAACTGATAAAGTAGGGTGCACTGGTGTGCAATGTAACTCAATCAGTTAACTAGACAGATGGTCTGATTAACCCATTGAGAGCCAGCAATCCAGCATTCCCCCCTTGATGAGTAAAGTAGCCTGGCATTAGACAAGTAAAATTATGAAGTAGGGTGCATTGGGGCAGTATGAAACTCAATGGGGTAACTAATGTAAATAATTTGTTAGCATTAATATTTTAAGTTAAAAATTTGATAAGTGTGACCTTCGATTGGGCAATCTGGACTAAATTGGGTGAGTTGGCAGGTCTGATAAAAATCTTGGTTTCAGGTTTGACTAAATCAAGTTCTCATGTGTGTTGGTAGCTGCATGAGTGCTGTAATATGGGTTTCTGGTCATTCAGCGCCTAAACCATACTTACTGTATAATCGGCTAAGTACATGAATGCCAGACACCATGGGACCATGGGTGCTCAGGGCAGCTACACGAGTGCCAAAAAAGTGAGTGCTGGGCAGCTACATGAGTGCTGAAGCCTGAAATTAACCATACTGTACTGCCTTGCTGTTCAGCTACATGAGTGCTGAAAACATACTGTAGGTGCCGGTCAGCTACAGAGGCATGAGAGGTGGTGGGTAGTAAACTTTTAATTTTAAAGAAATATTTGTTTATAAATTTTAGTACAATCTGGTACGACTTTTTCTTAAAGTATGGCTCTATACATATATGACCAATAGATATGTATGTAAAAATTCAGTCTAAATACAATTTTATGCATGTGCCTCCCCCACCCCTTCCCCCCAACGTTTTTTCAATGTGCCCTTTTTCCAAGCCTAAAGGCTAAACATAGCAAAAATGTTCTAATAGAAGAAGTACATGACTGTACATACTACTGTACCCTTAATAGACTTAATAAGACGAAGACTCGAAGTGCCCTTCTACTGTAACTTGAATGATTAGTTGCCTCCAGTATGCATATTCCAGACCACATTTATATTTAATAGACTGCCAGAGCTTACCTCATGTTTTAGACTGCTAAATCATACTTTCACATTAAATATTTTTGCTGAAATTTATTATCTATCATTAGTATTTCTGGACAATTCACAAGACAACTGTGTTGGAATCATTAATAATGCGTCATTGAAACAAAACTGGACACACTATACAAATATAAAAAATAGCTACTCATGCCTCAAGACTTGTTTACAGAAACATGAAAGGTAAGTTATGATATAAACCACAATAAAATGTTGATCAGTGATGAGTGGTTAAAACTGATGAACAGTAAAAAAGCCAAGTGGTTGAATTCACCATATCATGTAAACTGGATTGAACTAGTTAGTTTGAACTACCCAGTCATTTCGCAAAGACGTCATTTTTACTTCGCGCGGTTAAAATACTCGCCCAATAAAGCAAGGGGGAAATTCTGAGGCGGACTTGTGTCGAGTCTATCGGAAAGGACGTCAAATTGGCTTTAGAATAGGCCACGGTCAAACGTTGAAATTTTCAGTTTTCATGTGCCGAACCTATTAATGCAAATGAAGTGAAACAAAGAACTTACATGTAGCTCATTAACATTAGGTTTGGCACATGAAAAGTTTGACGTTTGACCGTGTTTTTTTTTTAAAGCAATACTACTAGTTACTGGCTTACTGCTCAGAGAAGTCTGAGCAGTAACTACTGTATTGGCTCAGAGTTACTGCTGAAGGAGCCAATCAAAATGCTCAAAGCCAAAGGCCATTTTTCAATACTGAAATTATACTAAAGCCAATTAGTGGCCGATTTTACTGCCATATTTTGGGGGGGAGGGGGGTACTGTCGTACTGCCTCTCCCAGGGACATGCTGGGGTCTTAAAAAGGACAACGAATGACCAACGTCTGATGGGGCCAGGCGCAGTGAACGATGGCTCAAGATTACTAATATTTTTTTCAAAAATTGTTGGCGGGGGGGGGGGGATTTTTTCCGGATATACCAAAAAAAATTCCGGACATATCGTAATTTTTCCTGGAATATGCAAAAATATTTCCGGACATATCGTCAATTTTCCGTAAATACTTAATTTTTGCGGAAATACTTAATTTTTCCGGGCATATCGTAACTTTTCGGTGCAACATACGGAATGTTTTCGTGAATTTTGATTTTTACAATATAAACTGTAATATCTTAATCTTGATTTTGAAAATTAAAATCGCAATGTTTGAAAAAATTTCAATGTTTTGATTTTAGGGGCCCGTGATGACAAGGGCCCATGATGACAAGGGCCCACAACGAGTTCTCGTTGGCTCATCCCTAGCCAGCACGAGTCTCTGCACCACGAAATGCGACTTTTTAGTATTATACTGTAGTTGTTTTCATAATGGTGAATTTACAGTTACAACTTTTGACGCCGCTTTTCATATTGTTTGAATTGTCTAGAATCTTTCACAAGGGCAGACAGTACCCCAAAAATGACGGATTTGGCCTTCGTGAGAAGGGCTAATCAAGTCCCCCTATCGAGGAGCTTGGAATTCCTCAGTCAGGGACGTACTTTCCGGAAGTGTATTCTCCAAACAGAAAGTTAGAATCGGAATTCCAATACGAGGGCAATAGGAATTAAACAGAATTTTCCATTTGGAATTCAATAGAAACAATAATTCCAATTCATTGCAAATTGCGCAAATTCAAACTGAAATTATGATACAGTTTGATACAGTAACTTTGTAATCACTTGAACGAACAATGTGTAGATTTTATATTGTATACCCTAATTTCAATATATTGGTCCTCTAAATCTGCATGCTATTGTTTATCGTTAGCGAGTTCATGGTTAAATCACGTACACAGCAATATTATAGCCAGGCATTAAAATAGCGTGTTTTGTGACACACTTTGTGTTCTTGTAAAAGGGAAATGTGTCCTTGTAAATTGAAAAGTGTGTGCTTGGGACAGTGTACTTGTGTTGGTCTTGAAAAGTGGGAATAAATCAGGAAAATCTATTTCAAGCCATTTCCCACAGCAATTTTGTTAATTAAAGTAATCATGTGTTTATTGCCTGATGATAGCCAGAGATTTCTGGTTTATATATTTCTGTTTTTCTGTTTAAAAGTCAAAAAACGCCTGTAAAGTTACCAACGGCTTCAATTATTTTCCTATAGGCCTATGGTAATGGCAATATCCGCAGCAATCATGCTATACAAAAATCAGGACTCGCTTTTAAGTTATGATAAGTTATAATCATTTAGACAGCATGATTTATGTACTTGTTAGATAGCCTCAACCATTGATCTAAACGGCCCAAAAGTGCCGAAAACTGCGTTTCTGTGACCCCAAATTTTAAAATATTTACTGACACCGCACTGATTGAATACATCCGTTAGTCACACTCATGATTTGCATAACCAGTCTCGGATTTCGTATTGCTCGAGTTATAACGTTATTTTTCAAGTTACCGTGAATAGTTAAAAGTTATTGACGGCCCGCATTTTACTTATATGAAAAAAAATTTTCACTTTAAAAAGGCACTAAATTTTAACGAATATTCGATAGGCCCTTCCTTAGTTGATGAGTATTTATTATTTATGCAATTATGCTTAAGCTTGTTTGCCACACTTCCAAGTGATTGTTGCTCTTGGCGTGGAGATAAAGTAAATCCTTATTTTAATGCCTGATTATAGCGTATGTTTGTATACTTATGTTTATCTTCCAGCGCGAAAACAGCAGCGTATGGTCTAGAATATGGATGTTTTTGTAATTCTTTAAGTTATGATAAACTACATTTGGATCAGAACAATAGAGCGTAAGTATGAGCTTGCATTAAACAAACTTTTGAGATGAAAGAACAGCCATTGTATACTGAGGTTATCAATAAGAGTTACATGCATGTATATTATTTTACGTGCACGAGGAGACGAAGCGTGTCAGACCATGTCATTGAGTGTTGCAAAATATGGTTTTCTCTTTTTGCAATAAAGCTCGTACATTACTGTTCATGTACGTCTTTTTCCCTCTTTGCTTTTTGGAGAGAGGAAATTCGTTTTAGCCATAAAAACGGTCTTAAAATTTCTGCATTGACGTTCTCTAAATATTTTTATTTTAGTTGTCCTCCTGGTGTCAGCGTTAACGTATCAAACCCACAACTCAAAGTTTACAATATGTCCAAGTTTACAGTACGGCTTCACTTTAAAAAATACATTAAACGGTATTCCAGGTTTAAAGTAGATCTCGAAGCATTGCTATATCAGAATGGCACATCCACAAATGATTCAAAAATCCTGAAAACGGCTGCGAAGGGAAACGACTGCGTAGTTATAGCAAGAAAAGGCCAAAGTAACACACATATACGGTGCTGGGGAGATTTCAGGTTTACGTTACTGGGAGAAACTCAAATTTGTCTCACTGATATGTGTGAAAATATAACGGTGCTTGAACAAATTAATATTAGCGATATTAAGCTAACCCATGATCTTCATGGTATGTTGTTACGATCCAAGATACAAGGGACTGTTTTTAATCTAGCTTTTTATTTGGACGATAAACTTGTGGAAACCGTAGAAATATTTGCTCAGTACGGGGAATTAATGTTTAAATATTGTACAATTGTTTGGGAACTTCGACCGCGTCCTGTCAAGATCAACTCAGAACGAAAACTCATAGTACGTGCAACTAATCCATTAAGCCCATTAGGTGTAAGCAAAGAAAAAACGTTCAACTACTGCAAGAGTTTGGGTAGCGTTAGTTTCGATTTTTCATATGTTTATCACCTAATGAGTAACGAAATTGAGACGACAATTAACGTAAAAGGAGATGTCACAAAGTATGATGATCTGAAGTACAAATGGTCGTTGCTGCAGGATACTTGTGTCAATGACAATGTATCTCTTCTTGCAAGTGAAACTAATGGTAAGTTCTAGAATTGTTTCCATACTCCATAGTCCAGTAGTTTAGGTCCAACCCTGTTCCCAGGTTCTTTCCTCTACAAGAGAGGAGTTAATTTGTGAGGAATTAAGAAAAAATTAAAAAGGACTTTGCGGAAGAAGGCCCCCAAATGCAAGAATTGCAGAAAATTGTGGAAAGTGTGAAATTTTGGGGAATATTCTGAAATGTTTTGGGTAAAGTCTTTTTGAATGGTTGGGGTTCGTAGGGAAAAAATAAGGGCCCCAAATTAAAAATTTTCCATGGGCCCCTAAATTCTCTGGGCGTCACTGAATAGTGAATATGCCCAGTGTGCGTCTGTTATACATGTATATATTTAATTGTTGTGGTTTCTATTCTTTAGTACCACAAGTAAAGGCAATAAGTCGTTCGTGTGGTAGTCGTAAGTGTTCAGCATGCCGAATTAGTCTTGTTCTAGTGGACAAAGATGGAGCTAATTGTACTGATCATAAACAGTATTCACAGATATTTCGGTATCTTAACCCAAGTGGTAAGTTGGAATTGAAATCAGTACATAGCTCAGGAAGGTTAGCATTATGTTACGGTCACAAGACCGCAACTTGCACAAGATTTGTGCAAGTACGTAACATAACGATACTAACACTTAGTAACAGAAATTTTAGACAGAATTTTTCTTTAACGGCCTTGTCACGTTCAGTAAAATAACGATAGTTACCTCGTGAATTCCTCAAACAGCGGGACGTTAATGCATAGGGACCTTCAGCATGTGCTAGCGAACTGAGTAATGCTTAATCTTAGCAGCACTCGTGTATGTCATGAAAAGACCGAGTCGCTATCGTCTCCAAAACAGTTTTAATTTACCTTTCTAGCCAATCAGTAACAAAATACGTGGACCGATTAGGCTGAGATTGTAACATAATCCCCCTCCCCCCTGTTCAATGTCGTTAGACTAAAATTAACATTTTATTCGAACTAGTTATCTGTTGTATTGCGTTGCTGATAACTCTCCCAGCATACACAGCAACATTGAAATAAGGGAGGGGGTTGTACTGTACATGTTATTTTTGCAATTGTAATTTTTAGAATTTCCCGGGAACGGCCCCCATACTGCCCCTCACCCCAAAAAAAGGTTGACAACTTTACCGCAAATTTGCTATGGAATCGCTCCACGGTCCTTGCTGCAAAATTCATTTGAAATTATAATGTAACCTTTTTTCTAAAACTTTGTTATCTTTCCTGTATATCAAGATATTGGACTTTGTTTGGCATGCAAATATACTTAAATCACACTGTATAATGTATTTTACAGAAGACTGTTTTTTAACTTGATGAAATTGTCATTAACTCAAATTTGCGGACGAAATGATACTGTAGCTTTGACAGTTCTTAAAGTATATACAGTATAGCTTTCAATGTCAGTGGAATTATCACATGTTTGGCAAGGAAACGTCTTCTTTCTAAAAATGATTGTGCAGTGTGACGTCATACATCTCTTCCTAAATCTGGTTAAAGAATCCTGTACAGTACATGTTACAGTTCCAATACTGTTTATATTATTTTTCAGTAGTGTCTGAGGTATACGCAATAGATGTTCCCACTGATTATTTTCTACGCGGTAAAGAAGCTACATTTAAAATAAAGAGAAGCAAATGGTTTGTAGCACCTTCGAATTACATTTGGAAACTTAATGGAAAAGAAATGTCAGGAAAGGAAAATTTTACACATACTTTTAATACAACTGGAAGGTACAATGCATGTTATATCTGTATCGTCCCTTGTTCGTTTATATATTGTTTGGTATAGATACATGTAGACTAAATGGAATAACGCATGTCCACGCTCGTTAAAAATGAGTATTTGCTCATATAAATTTGTCAATTTTACTAAAAACACTCCATGTGCGTTCATACTCTTCTAATCTACGACAATAAAAGTTTGGCGATTCACAATGAGTGCGACTTTGTTCAGCATTTCTTATTAAATCAACCAATTCACGAAAAACGCGTGGTCCAATAGACGCCATTGTTGTATATCGGCGCGTCGCTCTACTTCCGTTTCTCTGATTTACTTCCGCTTCCTCATCTTTTAGTTGCATTTATATACTTCCGTTTTCTCATATTTTATTTGTATTTACTTCCGTTTCCTCATCTTTTAGTTGTATCGATCGGTTTATCTTTTGGTTGTATCGGTTTATCTTTTAGTTGTATCCGTTTATCTTTTAGTTGTATCGGTTTATCTTTTAGTTGTATCGGTTTATGACATTGATGTATTTGCCCATAACATCAATGTATAGCACATAACATCTGCAATTTATAGCGCATAAACTCGATTGATACATTTCAGATATTTTCTCCGCTAAAAAACTTCATACATATATTATATATTATTTTACCGATTTCAACTTTTGCTATTTGTTTGTTTAGTTATACTGTTAGCCTATTTGGCATGAAGGGCAAAGAATTGGCATCAAAGAACGTTTCTATTCTGGAAAGATTAACTAAGGTACGTCACGGGAAAGTATACTCACTGTATTTGGTATGGCCAGGGGCTTTGTGGATTTTAAACTGAAGAAATATCTGCATATTTGGACCTTTTGCCCCCAGCCCTACCAAGGCTGATTGCATCATCATGTTTCACTCATGAATTTATTTCTCTTCGATCATGACTCCATTCACAACCATAGATCACAACCATATCCTTCACTCTAAATCTATGTTCATGCGCAAAACATAAGGATATAGTCCCAAGATGGTCGTGACTGGATTTATTTTTAGTTGGAGATTGTTGTTACTTCTTTTCGTTACTTTGGTAAGCCGATGTCAATGCGTGCTATAGTAAACTGTAATGTGAGCGTCACTTATTACTGGGATTTTGGCGATGGTGAACAACAAAACACATCGAGCAACATGGTGAAGCATCGATACTACAAGTGAGTATTCAACCCATTAACTACGATGCACACTAGCACTGTAGTTTGTAATTGTACTCTATCTAATACCAGGCCTACTATTAGAGGCGTGATAGTCTACTATTAGATCAGTAGTATATTTAGTACGCGCATCCTGAATTTATCTTATTTTATAAATGTGCCGCGTAAATTTGACATTTTCATCAGATAGAGCAATTAGATGTGGGGTACCTCAAGGCTCTATTCTAGGACCACTCTTCTTTTTGTTATATTAATGATCTGCCTCAATGTCTAAACAAAACAAAGCCTCGACTATTTGCTGACGATTCAAATTTAACAGCTGCAGGCCATGCAGTCTATAACTGAACTTGAAAATGCAGTAAAATTCTGATTTGTAAAACATTAGGAAGTGGTTGATAGCCAATAAACTTAGCCTGAACGTAGCTAAGACAGAATTTATATTGAATGGCTCAAAATCAATGACTAAAGGTACTACAGATAACAGATTTTCATCTAAACATTAAACTTGACAACAAACCATAGATATCTTTATATATACACTAGATAGTGCATTTAATTATTCTGCAATTCAAAAATTGAAGCCGTGATTGCAGACTCAGGATATTCAGTCCCATGAAATGAGAAGACTCGTATGTTTTCTATTTTTTAAACAGGGAACTTAAACATTAAGTTAAACCTATTCCGTTTATTAGCGAGTGGGAAACTTCAACATGGCCGCCATCTATTCAAATGGGGGTAACCGCTGGAATATTCTTGGCTTCAATTTTACTAAAAGAGATGCGCTATCTAGTGTAGATATCTATGCAACAAATCCATTAGTGACTCAAGAGTGTAAAAGCCTATGAGTATAATAATTAGCCTTTCTCACGCCGCCATTTTTGGGTGGCATTTCAGCTGAAGTCTGTGCGATAAGTCCACGTAACAGCAATTATTTATAATTTTTTGGACGAATGATGGTAAATTTGCTTTGTAAATGGTTAGTTTGTTTTGAAAAATTGCTTTTCACATTGTTTTAATTGCCTGCATTGGATAATGAAAATTTGATGCCACTCAAAAATGGCGGATATTTGTCATCGTGAGAAAGGCTAATTGACCAGTGTTTATCTTGGAATAGTAACACTGAAAATATTTGCAAAAAGGTAACAGCCGGAATCTCTGCCCTTCGGTAGCCTGAAAACAGACCTACGTTTCGCCCGCCCTAAAATTCGCGGGTCGACGAAGGGCGACACGTCCCTTCGTCGATCTGCGAATTTTAGGGCGGAGAAACACTTCTCTCTGTATACAATGCACTTACAGTATACCTGTATTTCAAATACTGCTGTGAAGTATGGGATGTATTTGGTGAAACACAATAAAAAAGGTTGCAAAAACTTCAGAATAGAACTGCTAAAACCATCACAAATCTTGGCAATGATGTTGATCATTCTATTGCCTTAGGTGAGCTAAGCCGGGAACCTCTTAAGGCTGATAGGAAAAAAACTAAAGCGAAAATGATGTATAAACTTTTAAATAATGTGGGTCCAAATTCACTTACTAATCTGTTTTCGTATAAAAGTGAATTAACAAACTATAACCTCTGGGATATTTTAAGTGGTCTTCACTTACCAAAACCACGTACAACTAATATGAAAAAACGTTTTATGTATGATGGTCAATTCCCTTGGAATTCAATTACAAGAGAAATTAGGGGAAGTATACATCCCTTAATTCGTTTGAAAAAAAATTGCTATACCTGCATTCACATTTGAAAAGAAAAAGTGCAGTAAAGTAAAGTACATGCATGTACAGTATATATAGGATTTCCTGTAAATAGCCTAACTACCTTTTTTAGTTCATTGTAAATAATTAGATTGTGTTCTCGTTAAACCTACTTTTATATAGTTATGTAAAAATATTTTGCACACGTCCTCCGTGGAAATCAGCTTAAGTTGACGGGGTCGACGTGTTTAAATAAAGTTTTCTATCTATATCTATCTATATCTCTCCAATTTTAAACATATTCCAGTAAGATCGTATTGTAATGTATCAATGTTTGAGCAAATGCAGGTTGTAATATAAAGAGACGCGTGTTATCATGCAAGGTGTTTGAGATTTCAAAACGGACAACAAGTCTTAGAAAGGCATTTGCAAGACTTTCTACGCCACATTTCTCTGATATTCTACATCTATTTTCAGGCCTGGTGTGTATACCGTGCGTGTTGTTGCAATTAATAGCGTTAGTGAGATAGAGGCGAATAAAACTGTCAATGAAATCGAGTTTTGCCCAGTTGGCGAGTTTGAAACATCATTTGAAGATGGAAAAGAGGCAAGTTTTCTCAAACAGTATAATGGAAAAAATCTACTCTCAGTAATTATACTGCAACACTGTTTGGCAAGTATACCCTGCAAGACGTATTCTAAACTATACAGTATATACTATATATAGGTGTAAATGCATGAAGTAACATTCAACGTGCAGTAGCTATGCCTGCGCCGATTATCAGTAATAACTCTCTAGTCATTTAGATATGATCATGTAATATTGAAAAAAGTATTCTAAAAGTTCCATTGCACGGGTCCAGCCGTGGAATTTTGTACTATGCGTTTTTCATTGCACAGTTTGGTTTTTATTAAATTCCATCCGTCAAAATCCTAATCCAATGTTGATCGTATAGCTTTCATTCGTGAATTGGATAAATATATTTTATTCGGTGAACGATGGATAAATTCGGTGAATGGAAAATTCCATCTTTCACCTCATGAAAATATTTTATCATTATATTGCCCTCATGGACATTCATTATTTGTATAATATCAGTATTTTGTATGTCCTAGCTTGTATATTTATATATAAATACAACAGTTTTCGAAAACCATTGTTTTTCCTTCTGGTTTTTAGGTTAAACAGTTTCGCTCTCTCCCGATTCATTTAGAAGTTTCAATAAGAAAGTTGGTTTGTTTCGAACCTGTTACCATCGTTTTTAAATGGACGGTAAATGACCTGAAATGACATTAAGATAAACTTGGCCGCCACACATATCTTTTACTTTAGTGTTATATAGGCTAGGATTAGGGTTAGGCATAACCTCCACCGCAGGCAGCTCAGTGTCAAATAGTCGAATTCCTGCAGGAGGAGGATAGAAGTTAGGGTCGGGGCTAAAGCTATTAAGATTAGTGTAATGATTAGGGTTTGGATTTAGGTACTTGAATAAGAAGTACAGTAGGGTATATATATATGGATTAAGATTAGAATAAGTGTTAGGTGTACTTTTCGACAGAAGAGCGACTTATGAATCAAAATTGGAACGATAAAAGTTGCCTGGACGTCAGTTCCGCAAAGTCTGTCGACTTATGCGACATTGATTCATAGCCGCTCCGCTCATGTCCCAAACCCAGGGACGCCGGAACCGGGGGGTAGGAGGGGCAGCTACCCCTCTTTCCCTTTACCAGGAGGGGCAAGGAGGGCGAAGGTGGCCTTTTGCTTAAAGGAAAATAGTTTTTATTAATAGAAAGAATTCGTTCTTGTTATTATAGAAGTATATAAACTATATGATATAACAAACTTTTGCTGAAAAACTGTAAGAAACGTATGGAAATTAATTAAGTTTATATGATTCCAGTGTTGTTCCAATTTGCTGTTAACGTGCGTGTCACCTCATATTTTTCGCAAAGACCTCTGAAAAAAAAATTTGGCCGAGAAGGAGGGCGAAGTTAAAATAACTGTAAAGCGAGAACAATATATAAAAAGTAAAATTACTTGAAAGAATTTGATTTAAACGAGCCTCTATATAGCTCAAATTTCGCGTACGACAACAGTCATTTTGGGCATTTTGGGCTGAATTCTTTTGTGCTAGAAATGCAGTCATTGAGCTTCAAAAATATCAAAATCCTCTGGGGAAGAACCGCAGACCTCCCTATTTCTTTACAAATCAGAAACGTGATTATGGCAGCGTTAAACTCCAGATTTTTCGTAAACGTCCTTTAATATATACCAATTCAAAAGTGCCCTTCGACGAAAGTCTGCCCCCTTTGCCCTCTCGTCGTTCCGGCGTCCCTGCCCAAACCTAAATAAACTTTTTCGTTATTTGTTATAGTATTAGACTAGACATCTGGTAATATTTTCTTCCTGATTTTCTTATATGTTTTAAAATTTATTTGGAGTTCTCGCGCGATATATTGTGCCAACCCTGTCGTGTTTGTTAATGTTCGTTTATGCATGCATGTGTTCGGCAAAAGTGTATGAAATTTAGAAGGATCTATTAAACTACTTATTTTAGATCCATAGGACCGACAAGTCGACCATATGGCCTGGTTGGGAAGAGCATAATAGTAATAAATCAACAGACAGCATTTATATTCCTCCAAATGTTCTTGATTATGGAAATTATAGTTTTAACGTGACAGTGAATGTAAGCTTTTTACTTTTTCCTTTAGCGTAGCATAATTGATAAGTACTTGATGTCACTGAATTAATGTAAATTCGACAACAATAGCATTCAAAGTTATGATTTAATATTTGACATGCAATAATTATTATTTATTTAAAATAATGCGAGGTCCTCACATCAACTCACTAGCTGACCAAATAGTCACACTGACCAAATAATCTCACTAGCTAACCAAATAGTCACACATTTAGTCACACTAAATCAATATTGGGGGGGGGGGCTCAAGAATAAATCTGAATAAATCTGAATTGCTTTCGCTCTTTTCTAGTTTTTTTTTGTGTTTTTCTTATACAAATGGAAATTATTGAAGCCCCCCTTCATTGTTCTCTGAATATCCTGAATTTCATACGTTCCAGAAGAAAAGTGTTAAAATGTTCCAGGGCCGTACATAGCGGGGAGGCAGGGGGGGGGTGGCAACTGTGGAGAAAACTATATTTAAATTTTTTTTCTTTTTTCTTTGGGTATTTCGGACTTTTTTCGGCATATAGGCCTTACTGCCCCCTGGTGAAAAAATCCTGCATACACCCCTGAAATGTTCACTCATGTAGTTACTTTGATTCAGGTTAATGGCGCTGGTGCGTCGCATTCTGAAAAATATTCTAGTGTCATCAACGTGATAGAAAGTCCTGTGGTTGCCATAATCCGTGGCGGCTTCAATAGATATGTGAAAGAAAATTCAACATTTTTCCTCGACGCAACGCCATCATTTGATCCAGATGATCTGAATGCAACTCTTCTGTAAGTACAGTCGTTTGAACTTAGAGGATTAGTGGATTTGGGACTCATTTTCCTGTTGCAAGGAGGCTATTTTATGGGCTGAGTAGACAAACAGATCTGGAATTTTTTATAATCCGTTGTATATTTAAACTATATATTGGTTTGCAACAACCAATAAATTGGTTGTCTCAGATTCAACATGAATTTGAGACAACCAGTTTGTTGGTTGTTTTAACCAATCTGTTTTTACAGTGTATCTTTTGAGAATCCTTGCTTCTTTTGTCCGATTCTTATTGGAAATGTAGCAAACAAAACATTTTTATCGTTATTTGTCGATTTTGTGTAAGATAAAATCAATAACAAAACTCTGCGATACCAATGATGTAATGACACTAATCCTTTAATTTGGACGACGACGTAATGCTGTCCAAAGTATTTAAATTCTTTACTATTATTATATCAACTTTTCTTTTGTCATATCAGGGTCCCCACGGTCCTTGAAAATCCTGGAAAGTCCTTGAATTTGTTTAAAAAAAATCCAGGCCTGGAAAGTCCTTGGAAAATGATAAGGTCCTTGAAAGTCCTGGATTTTTTTTCCAGTAGGCTGGAAATAATTGAAGAATTATCACCAGCCCAAGGATTGTGTTGCGAAGCTGATTTTCAAAGATTTTTCCAGTTGTAAGGTCCTTGAATATACTGAAAAAGGTCCTTGAAAGTCCTGGAAAAATCCTTGAATTTCATCTTCACTAAAAGGTGGGGACCCTGTCATATGCAATCGATGACGTTGACGTAAATGGTGCAATAATTATTTTCATAATTATGGAAATTTATTTATTAATTTATTAAAAATTTCTTTTAACAGGGTGCCTATTCAGTGTTAACAATTTAAACTATATAAAATACTGAATTTCAAAGGGGCGTGTATAAATACAAAACAAATATCCCAAATTAATATGTATTATAAATACATGTAAAACATTAGACTTGCTCCAAGTCTCTCTTTGTGGACATCTATATATTGTACATCTATATTGTACGTTACATTCTCCCCCTCAGCGGTACGTCATGTAACGTACAATATAGATGTACAATATATAGATGTCCACAAAGAGAGACTTGGAGCAAGTCTAGTAAAACATGAGCAGCAGTATTTTACCAGATATAAAGATACGAGGCGAAGCCGAGTATCTTTAGGTCTGTTAAAACATGCACCGCGAATTAAATTGCTTCAAAAATGATCGATCGATTCATTGGCGAAGTAATTTTAAAAAAATACGTTGTATAAGTCGAGAAAATCAAAGTTAAAGTTTATGTAAATCAAGGGAAATCTCTATCACATATAAAGATACGACACGCTTATGATTTTTCTTTGTGTTTTCCTCATGAATTATTAATGAGTTTTTGAAAACAATACTATATTACAAAGGAATGACAAAGTAATAGCTGAACGAATTAAACAACTATATACAATCATTTGGTTATTTCAACTCGTCCTTTAATTAAGGTAATTCCGCAGTAATTGTTCCCGAAATGAGAATGTGCTGAAACTTCCCAGGCATGGAGTTTATGATATACTTAAAGTAAAATCACACAAAAAAGTCGGGGTCACCGAACTCGTTAAGAAGATATAACAATCACAATATACCACCTTTACCCCAATATGGCGCCATCTTGACGCTCATTACGAGTAACAGCAAAATCACAACAGCCCGATATTTATTGACGTTTTTAGCGCGGATTTTGCTTTAGTAAACCTATTATTTTTGAAAAAATATTGTGTTTTGAGCAAAATGAAACTACTAACGTGTATAATTCTGATCCACAAGTGTCTTTTCCACGTTTCTTTACATATCTTTCTTTGAGAACATGCATTGATAAAGGATGTTTTTTCAAGATCCAGATTTCTTTTAATTTCGGATATGGAATGTAAAATGCATTAAAGAAATAAATTATCAGTTAAAAAACCGGGGTCACCGATATTTTTAGGGAATTGTGGCATTAAAACGTGGAATACAAGTAAATAAATATACTACAGAGACAGGAACCCTAGCAACACTTTTGTATGCCTTTTTTGAAAACATTGATTTTAACGTAATTCTTTGCACGAATGTAACCAAAGATGTTTTGAAATAACATAAAATTGTCATAAAATGATTTTTTTTAAACGGTACGTATAATGGATGGAATATAAGTTATAAGATGTGTGCAGTAAAAGTGCGCAATGCAAAACTGCGGAATTACCTTAAGAGCATTAATTGATAGCTCTTGGAAATCGTCAGTTATATCGTTCCACGACTTTGCCGCTCTATACGAAACGCTTGTCTTTTTAGGAAATTATAGTTCTTGCATGGGCTTGGTTTTGGGAGTTTCTGTTTAGTGTTATTATACTTCTCATGCAGACAGTAATAATTTTTTACACTCTATGAATAGGTAACTCGGCGCTTGTCTGGAGCATGTCAAAGTTAACGTCAGAATGTTAAAGTTAAAGTCAAAATTTAAATGTTAAAGTTAAAGTCAAAATATTAAAGTTAAAGTCAGAATGTTAAAGTTAATATTGATCTTTTTACCATTAATTACCGGCCAATTATTTAAATATCGCCGATTATAATCGGTTTTGTAGTTAGATAGTTTCCGGTTTTGCAGCTCATATGTACATGATTTGGCCAGCAATGCTTGTCTATAGTGTTGTTTTTGTATTCTTTTCCACAGCTTTCGTTGGTCGAACCTTCCTCCTGCTATGACAACAGGACCGTTCACTGATCCAGTGATTGAAGTTAATGCAACACACTTGAAAGAATCTGCAAAATTTAAAGTAACCGTTTCGTCAGGAAAACGAGAAAATGAAGCAACACAGCGCGTTACAGTGGTAAACTCAAAGGAAATCAAAACCAAGTGAGCAATATACAGTACGAGTTTAACAGATATACTTTTTCAATATTAAAATTATTATTATTATTATTATTATTATTTAATAAAAAAAGTATAAGTATGGTTTGAAGTAATATTTCAAATCCGACTATGAGGATTGGACTAGATTTCAAGTCCACGCAATTTGATGGATCAAAATGCGAGGACTTTGAATCTAGTCCAGTCCCAATTGGAGGATTTGAAATGACATCTCATACGAATAAATCACTACTTCAAGTGAGGTGAATTAATTTTGATCCAGTCCAAAAACTGAATTAATTTTGATCCAGTGCTAGCGGGACTGGATTAATATACTTCACCCGGTATCCAGTATTATCATGTGAGCAAAATAAAGCAATATGGTTGGCTAATTTACTTATGAATTATTAATGAATTTGAGATGGGTGCGTACCGTACAGTACATGCAACAAAGTAATGAATACCCTTTAACCCGCGAGGTTGCTTTATGTTAAGGTAATATTTCTAATTTGCGTTTATATTTTAAAATTCTGTGCATTTTGCATAATACTGTTTACACCTGGAATCAGAATCATTTTTGCATTTATCAGTTTGTACAAGGTAGGAAGACAGTGATTCCATTTTGATCCAAAATTGTAGTGATGAGAAATGTCCTACAGCACCGCACTGCCAGCAAAGTTTTGCCAAAAAATATTCTACAGGAATTTTGTCATCTCAAACTCATTAATAATTCTTGAGTAAATTAGCCAACCATATTGCTTTATTTTGCTCACATGATATTATTGGATACCTGGTATATTGTATTAAATCGGTCCTTGGACTGGATCAAAATTAATTCACCTCACTTTAAATAGTGATTTATTTTTATGAGATGTCAAATTGCGCGTACTTGAAATCTAGTCCAGCCTCATAGACATAGTCGGATTTGAAATATTACATCTTATACGTATATATTGGAATGTGATATAATTTGCTTGTTTAAAAATTCCAAATCCGCTTTGCAAGTCGAAATTGTCATGTGTCGAAAACACTTGCCCATAATGAAGTTTACAGTGTACCACCTGCATATATGCAGTCGCACCACATGTTCTTTGAAACCTATACCTATATATACAGGAGGTCTTAATACGTTTGGGTTAACATGGGTTCTTTTTGCCGCCAGGAAGAAGAATCCTTTTCCTGTACCAAATTTTCCTGCTTAAAATGATCTTTTTTCTGAAGTCATTCCATTGTATAAGAAATCTTTTCTTTTAAAATTGTAGCATGATTTTGGACTGTCCATCGTGTGATATAGAACCTCTAAATCCCAGCAACCCTACAAGAATAATGGAGAAATGCAGTTCCAAGTATTGCCCAAGCAAGGCTTCATGGGAATTATATGAGTTGAGAAAAAATGAGGAGTATGGAAAGCCCAAGTTGGAGAAAATAGTTTGCACAGAAAGCGACCAGACATCACTACAATGGTCTAACAGTAAGTTGAAATTGATCACTGGCCCGTTTTTATACTGCCCCAAAGGGTATTGGGCTGTCAATTTCCCGTTTGTAATCTAAAATGACTGAAAATTGCAAACTTCGCAAGGCTATATTATCCGCATTTTACAACATTTCGCAACGAAACTTTGGAATATTACTAATTTTGTGATGCTCTTTCAAGCTGTGATGAAATTTTTGTCTAGATTAAAATTTAGTCTATTACGCAAATGGTCAATGAGCAATCGAAGATCAGGTCAATAAAGTTTGATATTTGGATTATTTTGATAGTTTAATTCATAATTTGCATTTTGTATGATTGTCGTAAAGAAAACCAAGATAGTTAATTAGAAATCTACTAGATTTTAGCAGATCACGTGACCAGCGTCTACCAGGGTCTTTGCTCCCCAAGAGGAAAGACCCTTGGTACAAGGTTGCTTTATTGTTAAATAAGATTATTTCATTCTCAAGGAGTGCCTTTGAGTAAATGATCTATTTATTTTTATTGAATTTGTCATTTCAGAAAGTACACAGCAATTTACGTATAGTTTTCATAAGTGTGAGCGTGAGAAGGCGTCTCAAACAACGGAATCCTTGTGTAGTAGATTAAACCACCAACTGGAATCGTACTGCAAAGATTATAAAGAAGTCCAACTTGTGTTTAAGAGGAAGGAACCATTGCTTGACATAAGAAATGATTTTTTCCCTGGAAGCAGAATATTTATAATCAAACGTATAATTAACGTTGAGGTTGTAGCGGAACGATTCTTTCGTGTCCATGATAAACCTCGAGACTATTCTTGTGAGGTCAAACCCACTAAAGGAATTGAACTTCAGGAGGATTTTGAAATTAGTTGTAATATGAACAAGGTATGTTAATTCTGCTTACAACTTATATGAACTTAGAACTTATATGAAGATTCATGCACAATCTTAAAGTTATAACTGCGCAGAGAGTATAATAGAGAGATGAAGATACCCCTGTTCCGCCGGTTTACGGGTACGGGTGATATACACGTACTCGTACTCCGTAAACCGTGTACGACTTGCAACTTAAGAAATCCAAGATATTCCGGGGTACGAAAACCGATCGGAGAATGGTAACTTTTGTTGCTGAGGTTCACAATAGATTTGGAAAACAATTGACGAGAAAATGGGGATAGGCTTTATTTAGATAAGATGTTGAAGTATTTTACTTCCTAAACGTCTTACAAATAGTAAACAGCACTTTAAAAACCCTACAAATAGTAAACAACCTTACCCGTTTGCCTTTCACGTGTAGACCATGGTTAACCGCGGGGAAACGGGTAGAAATGACGGGTAAACTTGACTGACATCAGCAATATTTGGTAAACGAAATGGCGATACCCGTACCCGTAAACCGCAACCGGGGTATCTTAAAGACCTCTCTAGTCTTTCCGTCGCTCTCTGCGCACTCAATCAACATGCAGCGTCTCAATTTCTCCATCTTGGAAACTATGTATGTAGGCCTCTGCGGACGAGAGATGTCAGATTAGTATTTCATTATCAGAGCGAAAATGGAAATATTATATCACGATCTATTATATTAATTACATCCATGTGTTTTGGATGCAGTTGACATAAAAATGTATTTTACAAAAGAATACACCCTTTCGATAATTACGTCACACATGCTTTTTGGTCTTGGAGCCTCGCTCTCATTAGTAAATTACGCAAGATGATTGGCTTACGATTCATGAGAGCGAGGCTCCCAGGCCAAATGATGTAATTAGCGAAAGGGTGTATTAACTTATTTTGGCATGCAACGAAATATTTAATGACTTTTCAAATTGCGCAGTTGTTCAGTCGTGTTGCATTATTAACCGAAAAAATAATCTTCAAAAGGTGTCTTACATTTAGCTTCACATATGCACTTTAGACAACACAAATATATGACGAATTAGTATAGGTAATCATGCGATGGCAAGTACAATTAGGGATTAATAGTACGAGTGATGTTTGGAAATTTTGCCAAAATTGGACGAGCCGCCGCGAACAACATCGCATGATTACTTGTTTATTATTAGCATATGACAAAATATACTTCTCCGTCAACATCATATTTTCTCGCCAAAACCCAGTCCTTCCAGACTTTCAACCAAAATTTGGTACTTTTGTTCGTATTTTCATTTAGGTCTTTTGTTAAAGCAAAATTTGGTGCTTTCGTATTTTCATCTAGTTCCTCCACGGCAATTTCATTTCACATTTGTGTTCAAAATCACTAATTGTACTGCAGTACAATTAATGAAATAATTGTACTCCTCTCAACCAATCAGCGTCCAGTAATTTTGTCATGCTAATAATAAAGTATAGTATCAATATTGTCTTACTATAAATTATAGCATTTTAGAACAAGCATTTTGTTTTCGGCTTAAATCTTAATTCACTAATTTTAATTCACTATACTCCTTGGCCTGGCATGTAGTAAAACACTGACTACCGGAACACCACCGGAACACCGCCGGAACACCACTGGAACACCACCTAACCCTAACCTCAACCCTAACCCCCAACCTAACCCTAACCCCAACCCTAACCCCCAACCCTAACCCTAACCCCAAACACTAACCCCAAACAAAATGGTGGTGTTCCGGTGTTCCGGTGGTGTTCCGGTGTTCCGATAGTCAGTGTTTTACTACATGCCCCTTGGCCTTGTTTATTTTTCAGAGTGCCGGTTCTTAATGAATTAAGGTTTGAAATCTTAATTCACTATACTCCTTGGCCTTGTTTATTTTTCAGAGTGCCGGCCTAGTGTACAAAGTTATGTACGAACGAGTGAACGCTGATAGCTCAACTATATCAAATATTTTTCTTCAAAGAAAGGTTCCGCGGTTCAAATTTCATTTGCCATCTGGCGACGAAGGTAATTCAGAACATTCTTTTAAATTTATGAATTGCAAACTTTGATGTCCGAAAAGAATAGTTAACGACATTGGATTAGAAACATACCTTAACCCCTGTCATACCCCCAGTTTCATAGACTATCAAATTGCGCGAGTGACGAAGAGTCACGTCATAGCTGTTCAAACGATATCTTCAAACGAAGCAGTTTCATTGTTCTAAACAAAAAAGTAGTTGTTAAATGGTTCTAATAGGGACCATGCAGCGACGAGTTCAATTTGGGGTGTATGATTTTGGGGATAGGGTACCTATAAAAATATTCGAAATCAGAATGTATCTATAAGTCACATAGTATATATTAACTGAGTTGAATTTGTTACTTAATTTGAGTATAGGACAATTTCGGTACAACAACAAATAATCATGCAATTACTCAAAAAGTATTGTTATATAGTTTGTGTCAAAGTTCATTGTATTAAACTTTTTATTATACATTTTAGTCCGCGTGTTGTGGCCTCGAAAAGTGCCTAGAAAACGATTTTCATTAAGCATGTCTTAGATCTGAAATACTTTTACGGAAACTAACACTTTCGAACACGCTGAGTTCAAATCCAAAAAGTTCCGTAGACCCGCAGTTTTTTCACAAAATGCTATTTTATCTTCACTAATTTCACAGCATTTTTTTTCATTGTTCAACGACACGGATCGATGACGATATACGATTATGTCACTCAAAAGGACCAATTTCTATTAACCATTCTTCCATTTAACAAAAGACCGGTTTTGCTCGAATCATTTTGAGTTATGCAATCTTATGCGTGTTGGACGTAAATAACATACCTTGTCTACTACTTTGAGAAGGTACAGATAATTCCTTCTAATATCTTTAGTTCTGGATCTATCTCTATAAAATCACGAGGACGTTAATGTCAAGTCTTTGGGCTATGTCTCTGGGCTGAGAAATAATTACTTACATGCGATCAAAATGTTTTATACAAAGATATAAAACGGTAATCTATATGTAATGGATCAGCATTGAAATTTCCAACACGGTTTCCGAGCATAGATGTTATATGTAAACAACGAGTTTGAGTGTTTCATCAGGGGATCCAAACACGAGAAAACTGTATGAAACACGAGCGCGAAGCGCGAGTGTTTTATTGTTTTCGAGTGTTTGGTCCCCTGATGAAACACGAGAAACGAGTTGTTTACACAACATCTCAAAACGAAAACATTTCATTGGCTTATATATATTATTATAGTATATTGTTGTGTTTTGACTTGAATTTGTATTTAGGATCTCAGTTATTAGATGAAAACCGTTTTTCATCTAACAACAGTGATGGTATATGATTTTTAGCGTGTTTCCTTGCGGTATCCAACCTCAATCATGTGACGAATTAGGGTGAGTTCATTCGCTAATTTGCTCATGAATTATTAATGAGTTCGAGATATCTTATATAAACTAGATAGCGCATCTCTTTTAGTAAAATTGAAGCCAAGAATATTCCAGCGGTTACCTCCATTTGAATAGATGTCGGCCATTTTGGAGTTTCCCACTCGCTAATAAACTCTTAAAAAACAACAATAACTTTCATCATTTGAATAGTTTGAAAATGTATTTGGAATAAGTTTAACTTAATGTTTAAGTTCCCTGTTTAAGAAATAGAAAACATACGAGTCTTCTCATTTCATGGGAATATCCTGAGTCTGCAATCACGGCTTCAATTTTTGAATTGCAGAATAATTAGATGCACTATCTAGTGTATATCAGGTCTATCAGATATTTATGTTTCCGAGACGTAATTCAATAGATAACTTATCATTGCATTTGAACTATTACATCAGTTGGTGTTATACTGTGCGATAAGCGAATATTATTGGAAAGAGGACTTCTATATATACGTCGAAATCATCAAATAAACAGCTCATGCACACATTTCTCCACTTCGTGGTAAGTTTACAGAGCATATTTTATACTTTGGGACTGATCTTTGTCTTTGATGTGAACATTTATTCTTATAGTTTAAGGTTCTTTAAGATTGATCCTGTCGTAAGTCTTCTACCTGCAACCATTCGACAATATTTCATTTTAGCCTTGTCTTTGCCCGTTACGTTGGCTTCGCGTTACTTTTGTTTTAAATATCTTGATCGCGTTAAAAGAATTATTTTTCAGGCCTGCAGTGACATAGCTAAAAGACTTTACGCATTAATGTCCTTGTGATTTTATAGAGATATCTCTGGAACTGAGGATTTTAAAAAGCGTTATCTGTACTTTCTCAAAGTTGTAGACAAGATATGACATATGTTGTTTACGTCAAACACGCATAAGATTGCATAACTCAAAATGATTCGAGCAAAACTGCTCTTTTGTTAAAAGGAAGAATGGTTTATAGAAATTGGTCCTTTTAAGTTTTAAGTACATAATCGTGTATCGTCATCGATCCGTGTCGTTGAACAATTAGCCTGCGTGGCAGGCCCTCAGTTTTATGGGGGGGGGGCTGATTTGCAACGGGCAGGATTCTGGCGGGCACGGGGGAGGATCCTCAATCCTCCCCCGTGCCCGCCAGAATCCTGCCCGTTGCAAATCATGCCCCCCATAAAACTGAGGGCCTGCCACGCAGGCTATTGAACAATGAAAACATTTGTTGTGAAATTAGTGAAGATAAAATAGCATTTTGTGAAAAACTGCGGGTCTACGGAGTGGGAACTTTTCAGATTTGAACTCAGCGTGTTCGAAAGTGTTAGTTCCCATAAAAATATTTCAGATCTAAGACATGCTTAATGAAAGTGAACGATATCGGGTCACGGCACACGGACTATTTACGGTGTTCCATTTATCTAGTTTTGGTTTCAAAGTTAACTCCAATAACCAGTGAATTATTCGTACTTTGACACCCCTGTATATACACTATATATAACAAAACAGTTATTTACTGAGACCTCGGCAAATCAGTGTGTTTTGTTGCCCCTCGACCGCCGTTGTTGCCCTCGGCTTCGCGTTCTCGGGTCCACAAAACACACTGTTTCCCTCGATCTCATGCAGTAAATAGGTGATAAATATATGTAATTAGTATTGAGTTACTTTAGTAATGATTATTTATAACACTGCCTGTTATGGAATAAAGAACGAACAAGAAAGACTGGATTGAGGTCTGCAAAAATTGCCGAACTGGGACATTTACAGGCCGGCTTTTAATATCGGTATTGCCGAATGCTGACCTCGTTCCACGTGGGGAAAAAAACACGCAAACGCTGAAAACGTACCGGCTTTATATTATCAGCAAGCGTGGAATACGGTGTGGCACCCTGCATAGTCTGCATAGACAGACCCAACCAGATTTCATGAGATTTTTTTTCAGGTATTTTACCATGCAAACGCTAATTTACACTAATTTTCTTTTCATTGGTAGATAAGAACTCCTTAATTATTTCGATCGAAAGTGATAAAGGTGTTGTAAGAAAGTATTGTGGTATTCATATGACAGTTTCTGGATTTAATTCCACCAGTAACGTTGAGAATTATTTGTAAGTAAAGAAAAATAATCAATTTCATCCTTGTAGTGGTTCGGAAAGTTAACACCATATTTTAAAAGATGATTAATTCAACACAAAACAACAAACGATATACATTTGCAAAACAGCTAGGGTTTGCAGGTAGGCATATGCACCAGCCACCAGTCTACGTACGCGTTGGACCACAATTCACAAAGCAGCCATTTACGCTAATTACTTGATTAGCTAATTAAGCACTAGCTATATAACAACAGTTTATTTTCTTTTGCAGATATAATAGGTCATTGGCAGTCAAAGAGTCGTTTTCGGAACATCATTATGCCTCCCATGGTCAAACATTGTATAATATTACCTTGATTTCAGACGTCTTAAACAGGTACAGGTACACTCTAATAAAGATTAAAAGAGGCGTAGGCTGTTCAGGAGATCTCCCTCATTTGGGCAACAGTAGTAATATAGGTTTTCGAGCTGAATTTCTATGGCGAAGGAAGGTGGAGGGAGGGTGAAACAGGGCGGAGTGCGACAGAGGAAGGGCACGCGGCATGACGTCGCTGATTATGTATGACGTCATAATATATGCATGACATCAGTCAAGGCATGCTAGTTCGGCAAGTTTGGGTTTTTGCAAGTACATAAAAATTTAATTTACTTGTTGTGAATATGATTTATGTCAAGTAAACTTTAAAGCCTTGGTGGCCATTGGCGTTGGCGAATTTGCATACCTAATAGGATCCCAATGGATAGATAGGGATATTATAGACCTGAACATGTTTTGATTTTTATTTCACCCAGCGATCATGAGACAGGTCGACATTTACATATGGATAGATTTATTACGCGAGGGTTAGGGAAGGCCTTAAAATCGGGCGGCAGCGTGGCTTTGCGAGAATAAATTAACAATTCTGCAATGATTTAGTTTTAATTAAAATGCACTTATTTCTTTGAAAAGTTTATAAGGTCTGCTTCTAGGAGCGTATTTTTTAGGTGTTATTATTATTATTACTTATTACTTAGTACTTAGTACGTATTACGTATTACTTATTACTTAGTACTTAGTACTTATTCACTCATGGTAGCTTTCAGGTGTCTGTTTTTCAAAGGGCCGTGAACATTTACTATAAATTATTATATAAATATCAAAAATATTAACTATAAAATAATCATTTATAATATACAGGGTGTATAAAAAAAAGCGCAATCCTCGACTAAAATGTAAATTGCTAAACAAATAATAGACGAAAACTTTAAAGTTTACATTCATTTTAAAGCGTAGCCATTCAGCTTTCTAACAGTGGGTTGTTTCTTAAATTTGACTCATTGGTTCGCGGGTAATAATACTTTACGTTATTGCGATTGGAGATTAAAAAAATTGAGATGGAATAACAAATCGTTCTCATGAAAATAACTGATTTTTTCATTAAAACAAAAAAATCTTGCATTTTATTAAATGGATTGTAACAATAAGTATAATTACGGCTTTTCTTCCACTATTTTTAACTCAGTTTGAAACTTCAAATGCGATATAATTTTGGCTTGGACCATCTAAGCTGACTGACATCAACTTGCTATAATTTCTGTTTACATTACATCGCAATTCGATGACACTCTTGCTCAGACACCAGAATGTTTTGATGATTTTTAGCATTCGTTTAGGATTTTCAAACAACCTGGTCTCTTTTAAAATACTTTTAATTTGTTCTTACGTGGTTTTCCAGATGTAGTGACGACAACATTAAAGTTTAAAGAAGAAAATTCTAACATTTAAATCGACTAAACAATAACATAGTAAACTTGCATAATTAAACAGGAACTAAAAATGATAGGTTTTACTAAATCTTTTCCTGTGCAATTATTACTAGCATTGCATGGAGACAAGGATAATAGTTTGTGTGAAAGAGAAAAGAACAGGCTTTGAAGTAAGCCTAAAAGCGTTTAACTAGAAATAGTATTTCGAAAGTTATTAAGCACAAAAGATGAATTGCGTTTATTTTGATACACCCTGTAGACTAGGCATGATGACCTCCCAATTCAAATAGTAAAATACACAAGTCATCGATTAGTCTCTTGAAAGAATTGATAGAGGTTTTAGGTATTTTTATTATTGGAAGTTTTCCCATTAAAATTAAAGCTCCTCTTTAGGAGAGAAGTTTGGTTTTACTGAAAAAATTGTCTTAGGTTTTGGTTGGTAAAGGTTTTAATTTAATGATTATGTCGTAGTTGGGAAGTTTGGTTAACAGAGACATAAAACATCTGTGTTAAATATTCTGGATCATTTGTTTCTTTAATTAAATTCTCGAATTCTTGTCTTCGTATTCTTGCATTATCTTTGGGCTTCTTTGGAATATATTCTGGCCTTTCCTTTAGTAAAAGCGTTCATACCGCTTTTTTCCCTTCGGTTTCATCATCCACTTTTTTTCCAATTAGCAGAGTCCACCCAATAGGCAATTCCAGCTTTTAATTTACGTGCGCAGGGGGTGACGGGAAGTAAGGCCGTATCATATTGCTGATTATGCTGAAAAATTTCAAAAAAACTGCCGAAACAACCGAAATATTTCAATATTTACAAGTATAAGCTATCACTCCGTGTTTTCACAGCCGCCATCTTTATTTTTCAGCATAACCAGCAATATGATACCTTACTTCCCATCCTCCCCTGCGCGCATAAACTAAAAGCTGGAATTGCCTATTGCGCTTTGAGTCTTGGTCATTCACCTTCTGTTGGGTGTAAGGAAGTTAGGGTTAGGAGTAGCAGGCACTAGTGTGTTATCACAGCAGGTACAGGAGTAGCTTGTATACTTGTGGTGTTGTTTGAACAAGGCTTTCGACAGTTTCAGGAGCGGGATAATGAGTTGGTTAAACTGATTTAGCTGATCAGAATACAGCTTGCTTTTTTCCACCGCAGCAAGCTGTGGTGCTTCCATGATCTCTTGCATTCGCTGGTCGGTGTTATACAATACAAAAGGTGGTTGATGGTAGGACTGGGCTTGTACATATTGTAGCAATACATGAAATGGTCCATGCATGGTTATTTTTTCCCGACCATGTTTGTAACTGCAAGGGTGATCTTTTGGTAATAAACCCTTTCGACATATATCACATTGATAAGACATCTTTACACCGTTGAAGTTCAATTTCAGATACAAAATCATGCATTATAAGACTAATCCTAACACCAATCCTAAAGAAAAGGGAGATACGAATAATGTTAAAAATAAGAAACCCAAACCAAGGGCCCGTCCTAACCATGCACAAGCATTAAACCAAACTTCTGACATTATTCTTTAGAGCAACTTCTGGTTATAGGGCTGGGTATTAAGACTATAGTTGTGACTGTAGTCTAAGTAGTCATGACATATTCTTCAGGGAAGCTTAAGGGAAGAGGAAGGGAAGCCTTAAGGGAAGCCTTCTATGAAATTTGAAATGGCCTCTGAAATTTGTCTTCATTTTTAGTTTATTAGTAAGTTGGTTGGTTTGGAGTTGTATCACTAAATACTAATTTTATACACTGTATATGCATTATAACTGTTTGAAAGAGTGCGAATGATTATAAATTTAAAGTTCTGTGCGTTTAAGACGAATAATTCTTTTTTTTCTTTTAGAAAACCAAATGTTTCGAATTCTGCAAAATTACTGCACTTGCGAATTCAAATCAGAGAGATGCTGATAGATATCCTAAGTAGAGTTACAACACTAGTGTCTAGTGAAGTACGTACTGTGTCGTACAAACATGTTATTACAGACATGTTATTCATAACTTAATATGTTGGTATGCTTGGTGGAAAACACCTGGATCTTTTATTGTTGGAAAGATTCCGATCCGTATAATCCCAAATCTTTATCAGTGCTATTTAAGAAATGGAAAACATTTCCGTGTTTCTATACAGTTATATAAAAACACACGTGGGAGTTTGGGAGAACGAGAAATAATCCACGTTACTCGAGTTCTCCCAAACAACCACGCGTGTTTCTATATAACTGTATAGAAACACGGGAAAGAATGCTTTCTATTTCTTTTATAATATAACTCAAGAATAGGTTTTATATCAATTAATTTACAAATTCTCATTACCATGTGATCGGTAAAGCACAAAATAGTAAAGTTCTCCTCTATGTTTCGAACTGAAGTTTCAAAATTGTTATGATCAAAAATAAGAACATGCCAGTCGGGCATCTGGAGGGCACTAGAGCAGGTGAAAGGAGTGGCTCGCCCCGTAAGAAAGTTGTAACAATTTCCTTTCATGTTTGTGATGTTACTCTGAGTGTGCATCCACACCGGAAAAGCTGAAAAGTTAGCTTGGCTACGGTGGGAATCGAACCCGCGACCTTTGGGATACTAGTTCAATGCGCTTCCAACTGAGCTACGCGCTTCCAACTGAGCTACGTGGTCAACTCGGTTCGAGTTGATGATATTTCGGAACTGAGTCTAGTTCCTTCGATATCAGTGTGTTCTATGATATATGATTATTTTGTGTGTGTTGGTGTTATGTACTCAGGTGAATATGATGTTTGTAATGTTACTCTGAGTGTGCATCCACACCGGGAAAGTGTGTGTGTTGGTGTTATGTACTCAGGTGAATCACTTGACCACGTAGCTCAGTTGGCAGAGTATTGGACTAGTATGCCAAAGGTCGAGGGTTCGATTCCCACCGTGGCCAAGCTAACTTTTTCGGCTTGCTCAGTGAGGATGCACACTCAGAGTAACATCACAAACATCATATTCACCTGAGTACATAACACCAACACATACAAAATAATTTGCTTTCAACCAATAGGAGATCTTTTAGTTTTAGTTAAAATAATTAGTAATAAATTTTAGGCACAAACGTTTTGACGAGTGAAATTTGCAGCAATAGACGGGTGGGAAAATGTTAGCAACCCAAATTCGAACAATTTTGTTTTTGTTAATAACTGCCATAATAAACGTTTGTTTATTTTTGTAGTATGTTTCCCGACAGTTTGCCAGTTCTTTGGAGAGTTGTACAAGAGTTCCTGAAGAGGTACTGAACGTATGCTTACATTAATTGTTGATACTTTAATGGTCGGAATTTCTCCCACTGTAAATGAACATTGCTGCATGGTGCAGCCATATGCAGTAGAAATGATAAAAAGTTCTTTCACGACGTGCTCTATGACAAATAATGAATGTTTGTTAGTGCAATGGTGAAAATATTGTCATGCACGAGTGCAAGATGGAATTTTCCATTCCACGAAGCGACACTTAATATTGTCGTAAAAATATTATTTTTGCACGAGCCATTTTGCTTCATTTTTGCTTCTGCAATGGAACAAAACGTACAGTACAAAAATACACTGCTGGAAGTGGAATCATTGCACTCTCAATAAAATGGGAATTTTTATTCAATATCATGTGATCATAATCAGCCAATTAAATACCAGAATATAATAAGGTGTTATATAAAGACAATTTGAAGTATTACTGCAGCGTACTATATTATTATAAACGTAGAGCCGTGTCTTGATCCTTTATAAATATCTTCGTTTAATTCATCATGTGGTCTATTGATCCACTGGGTTATTAGCGATTTGTACACGGCTATCGGAAACAGTTATACAATTAATAAAAGTATATCATTTTTGTTTCTCGTTTTTGTTACAGTTGACTAATAGCAGTGCAGTTGCAGTTGTAGAAATACTTTACAATCTAACGGCAAGAACACAACATGGTCATGAACAGAGTTTAGAGTTGGCGAAAGATTTTCAAGAAAACATTCTCAAAGTTGCAAGTAGGATAAAAACGAAAATGAGTAGCGAAGAATATGAATTGAAATTATTGGAATCTCTTAATAATCTTTTTGAGGTAATAATATGCTTCTTGTTGTTTTTTAAAATTGTGTAACCTTTTCACATTTACATAAATGTCAGAAGGAGAGACGCTTGAAAAAGCTGTTACACGAACAAGAAATATGGGTACTGAATAAATAAAACGATGTGATTAAACTATTTCATTTTGTGGCAAAATCTATGAGAAATTGAGATACTTTAGATAGTCTATTGGGATATAAAATATAATTATATACTACTACAACAACAATTGTGCTAGTTTACATGGTTTTAAGAATAAAAATATAATTCTAGTAAAACATATTAAAACCAAAATTGTATTAAGTACCGAAATTGTATTGAGTACTGTCGAACCTCTCCTTACGGACACCTCTCTAATAGGGAGACCTCTCTATTACGGCCAGGTTCCAATGTCTTGACATGAATGTTTTACTTTATATTTTCTTTTCTTTCAAGGATACACTGAAGACAAAATTCGTGCGGACTCCTTTGGAAATAATCAACATTAACAAGAACGTCTTCAACGCATGTCTTATGAAATTATCGCCCTATCGTAGTGAAGAAGTTCGTTTCAAGTGCGGGGAAACACATGTAATGTTGAACACAAGAAGTTATGAAGTTTCCAAAAAAATTTATGACTGTGATTTATTTGGGTGTGGTTTACAAGCTGTAACCATGGAAATTAATCCTTTCAGAGATGATGATAAGTACCAAGTATGTCTTTCTAATTCTTCCATTTCACATTGTACAATTCCCTCTTTTTCTGCCAACTCTGGTGCAGTATTTTTCCTGAGTGCCACTCACTGTTTTGGTCTTCTTTCCTTTCACTGACTTGAAGCAGAAAAATTGTTTATGCAGAATACGAGTATTTACACTAGATATAGCTCGATCACCTCCATGAGTTCTAAATTATAGCTAAGCAGCTATTTACATTTACATTACATTATTATTCAGCTCACTCCCCATTGGGGCTTTTCAGTGACTGATTACATGACGTATTACGCTCATGTTATACTAAGCCTATAGAGTATTTATCTCTACAACAATTGAGATATTACTTTCCTAACTGTGTTTATCCTAACCCTGCACCCTTGCAACTTTACCCTGTGGGAGGAAACCGGAGCATCCGGAGAAAACCCACGACTTTCGGCAGAGCGTTGACTGACTCTTTTCACATGAGTTCGTAGCGAGAATCGAACCCACGATCTCAGGTGAAAGCATTGAACTAAAAATAACTGGAACGCTACGTTCAAGCGGAAATTTGAAGCTAAATTCTACAAGGTCGTACACAGGCTTTAAAAGGCCCGTTTTAAACTTAAAAGGCCCGTTTCCCTTTCGATTTGCATCCTGCCATGAAAACGTTCAAAACGGCATGCTTCGAGCGTCCCCTGCATTGTCTCGCGAGTAAATCGCGCAGTAGAAACACGCGTGGAAGTGCGTGTCTGGGAGTCAAAACTGGCTTCATTTGGCTTCATGGGAGTCAAATTTTGGCTTCAAAATTTGCATGCGCAGTTTACTGAACGTAGCGTTCCAGTTATTTTTAGTTCAATGGGTGAAAGGCGCTTGCTCTGACGACTGCGCCATCGAAGCCCCATGACGTATTTGGGCCTACGTAAGCTTTAATTTACCTTCTCGTAAGCGTCTTCTAGATGCGCTGGAATATTGTTCTGGAATATTTTTCAATTGTAGAAAATATCTTCTTTAACAAAATTGAAAATACACAACTGCAAGCGAATGAAGAATTGTGCAGAAAAGATAACTAAAGTGAAACTGCTGTTTCCTATCAGATTTGACAATGTAAGTGATAACTTTGATGTTGTTTTGCAGCACTTGTTACTTTGCAAAATTCACTTCTCAAAACTTTTAATTTATGGCTCAAGTTTCATGACAATTTGACTAGGCTTACGACTTATTTACTTCGTTAATCAGCTGCATGTCTTTTACTAACTTAGAAATATTGAAGGGCGGGTCGCCGGGTTCGCAATTCTCATCTTCCCCCTTGGTCCGTCATTGGCTGAAACGATACAAAACAGAGAATTTAACCGACTATATGACTAATCATGGTTTAATCTATAGGACAGATATTTACCGTAATAATAATAATTGACATAGTGTTGCTTCCGCGAGTTCTTAAACCCATATTTTAACCGTTGAGAGTTGGGTCTAAAACCATTGAAAATTGACCCTCTTTAAGGCTTAACTTGATGAATTTCACTTCGTTAAACTACACACATATTCATAATTACTATCAAGTAGGAATAAATCTTAGCTATGCTATGAAGAGTTCGTGATTAATTGCTTTTTTCTTTTGTTATACTGCTTTAATGAGGCACAGAGGTGAAAATATGCGATTCTGACTAACATTTTTATCGGACTCGTACTTGCTCATTTTTTCTCCACTTGGCATGAAACACATGTTTATTCAATAGCTAAAAGCCTGATCTTTCCGAATATGAATTAATGACTTTTAGCGATTCCCGGCAAGCCTTTCGCGCTCGAATTCGACTTTTCCGCTTTGCTAATGATTTTTTGGCGATCTCAGCAAGCCTTTAATTCGCGCTCGTATTCGACTTTTCCGCTTTGCTCGCGGGGACAACCTTAATTGAAATAGCTGTATACAAAATTAACTTCTCATCTAAGACCAACATTTCTTACTGACCAAGAACAAAGGTCACACGTACTATAATGACATGTGACACCTGTAGTAAGTTAATGATGCTATTGAATTATCTCACAGGATACTGTATTTTATTCATTACATGTAGAATACAGTACAACCTGCAATATACCGTCTAAGTGCCAGGACAAGTCATCTATTTACTTTGAAACAAGATACGAAAAATGTTCTGTACGTTGAACTGGTTCCTGTTGGTTCATTGTCAAAGAAGTTAAGACTGAGAATTGTAATAAGGTTGGTGTCGTTTACAAAATTATGGTTTCTACTATATTTGTCTTTAAATTATGCCTTACCAAGTTAATTATTTGAATATTTGGTACATACATGTACTGTAAATAGATAGCGTTCAATTTCTTTCGAAAAATACAGTATGTCGGGTGAATTTGCATATATAAGGAAAAATTTTAACACTTGCTGGCTAATTGAAGAAAGTTCGTGACCATATTTCTCCCTGATATCTAAATACAGAACTAACGCGGTTAAAACCATTTGTCGTCAGTATTGCATGACTATTGTAATTCATCTGGTATTCTTAATACAATGTACGACAATATAATAACATGTAATATAGCGCTATAACGTCAGGACTTAAATACGATGTGTTATGTTGTAGATGTGCTGATGAAATATTCCGCTTTCTCTCTGAATCATCATTTTCCACTCACATGGAACGTGTTCAGAAATTTTTCCCTCCTAACTACTTCAGTGATAAATGTAAGTAAATCTGCCAGTTGACGTGATTCTGCTAAAGCTTCGTCTTCATAATGATAATAATAATTACAAAGATGATGAGGTATTTCATGTCGATTACACAGGATTTGGTCGCCCGAGTCAGAGGTCCATAATACCTGCGTGATTGACAACTAGGCGTCATGGTTAGTTTTTGATGAGGGAAGGCGGGAAAATCCCTCGAAGCAATCAAATTCAAATTCTACTTACACGACGCATGATATTTTAAGTACAGGCCCAGACATTCGCTTTGTGTTTCTTTTTATATCAGGTAAAGACTTAAATGTTACGGTTGATCTTAAGTGGGAAGTGGAGCCGTCAAGATATGAGGTATATAATTGTCTGCATAGGTGAGGGTATTTTGGAATAGACTCGTTGCTTTCATTAGGAGAAAATTTTTGCTTCTATAGTCAAGTGCAACGGCTCGAACTCGGGGCAGACAATATGATCCTGATTACGTTTAGTAATGTGATTATTTCGTGTGCATTCAAACGTGTTCTGCCTACACAAGCAAAATAGTGCCGAGAATAGTGCCATGTAACACTTCTTGCACTTATTAGTTATGGATCCGCAATCTCTCAAGCCGGGCTGTCTACTTCTGCTAGAGAGCCTGGCTTGCGAGATTGATGGATCCGTAGCAAAAACGTAGCGGTTCGTTACAATGTTTCTTCCAGATGTGATGCATGAGCTCAGTTTAAGGTAGCATATAGACATCATATCTAAATAAATCGATTTAATTTGGAAAACAGGGGAAGGGAAATAACAGTAGGAATGAAAACATTAAGGCTTTGTTAAAACCAGTCCGATAAAAAATTTGAATAAGGTTACACGTGTTCCAACATCTTCCAATATTACCATGCAAACATAATGTTTCAAACGAATGCAACACGAACGATGTTAGGTCAACCATGTTGGATCGGTTTGAACCACTCTGGTTCCAGAAGTTTATTTTCATTGCATATGATATTAGAAACGGCGAAAATATATTAGCTATCGTGTGAGGACATTCAATTAATAATGAACCAATCAGAACACACCTTACACGTGACAAATTTTTAGCTGAACCAATCAGAGAACTTCTTTGTGCAGTCATCCAATCAGGAGACAGAATTCGACACGTACTACTTTAAAACCGATTAGCTTGCTGACTATAAAGCCTTGAGATTGAGTACTGTATTGCACACTTCGAAATAATTCATAGTTTGAGAGTCATCCAACAATGCTGAAGCCATTCAACAGTAGTATTTAATCCAAGCTAGTTTCTTTATTGACCCTGATCGTTTCGTGGAAACGTTTTTTAGTACATTAGCATTGAATTACCCTATTTTAATGTTTAATTTGAGTTAATTAACTTTGTGAACAATAGCATGCAATTACCCTATTTGAATGCTTGATTTGAGTTAATTAACTTCGTGTATATTTAGTCACTACGAACTGAAGTGATGTATAATCTAAATGTGAGGTCACTCGACTGTCTCTTAAAGAAACATAATGGCGAGTGGTCCGAAGGTTCATGTAATTGTGAAACAGATTCGCCTGTTCATTCGTTAAATTGCAGGTAAAGTTCAGAATTTATCAATTTGTGTTTACCGGCAAGCTCTGCAAACATGAAGAATACTTGAATAATATTTCACTTATACGTCTGTGTAGGAATAATTGACCAAAAGAGATAAACGAGAGCCAGGTTACAAAGTAGTTAATTCCAAATTTTGACTCAGAGTTAGTGCATGTATAAGTTTGGTCTAGTATTTATTGGATTTGAATATTTATTCGAACAGTCACATTTTTGTGATAAAATATGAACATTTAATGAGTAAAATATATCGAGATACAACTTGAACAAGAACTGCAACGAACAATTACACGAGGCACTAAAATGGATACACCAAACGTTCGAATCAGAAT